TTCACTTGTCAAATGGCAAACAACTATTAGCGGCAGAGCTAAGACACCCTGATAATGCTATCTGCTCTCCTATAAGCACTTACATCATTCACAAAGTGCTTTCACAGCCATCATTTTCTTTGACCTTCACCAAAGCCGGATGTTTCCACAGATAAGAAAACTGAGGCTCGAAGAGTTTGGATGATTTGCCTACATCACCTGGGTAGTAGCTCCAAATCCCAAATCCCATACCCTTCCCACCGCCAAGCACTGCTACCCAAACCCTTCATGACAACCTAGGCGGCGGGTTCCCCAGCTTCAGGCACACTGCCTGACATGTGCTAGGCACTCAAACACTAGCTGAATGAGCGAATACCCAACAACTAGGGGAAGGCCGAGCAAATGGTGCTTGAGCAACAAGATACTACAAAGCTTTTAAGAAGAAAGATGCTGATAAGCTGAAATCCACATTAGATGAAAACGCAGAACCTCACATAAGACAGCCACAAATCTTCCACACTCCAGAGACAGGTCTCTATCTGTTTGGCCTGAACTTTACCCAGACCTGCCTCACCTGATCACCCTGCCTCCAATCTCTTCCCACCTCTCCTCAGCCACTGTCTCAGGAACCTGCAGGCACTCCCTAGTGCTGACACTGGCAAATCCCAATTCTTCACCTTGGCCTTCAAGGCCCTACCAGCAGATTCCACCTGTTTCCTGCATTACTCACTGCCCTTGGCCTTTGCTGGACTCTTCCCCTCCACTCCACAGACTCTCATCGCTTTTATACTGCCAGATCTAGCCTTGGCTCATGTTGGTTCCCAGGGAACATGGTCCCCTACCTCACTTCCATGAACCCTAGGTAAAAATGGCAGTGACTAGCTTTTTTTCTTTTTAAATGAAAGCGGTTTATATGACATTTGTTTGAACCTACGTGATCACCAAGTTCACTAGAAACAGGCACAGTCAGCAAGGAGCCCACCAGCAGGAACCTCTAATTGGGGTTTTCCACGATGGAGGCGGGGAATCACCTTAGCCGCCTATCCAGTCCATTTTCTGGCCTGAGGGGCCTTGAGTTCCTGGGACTCTTCCCAAAATGGCCCCCAAGGGGCAACCAGGTTGGGCTGGGCTCTGATGCCATGCCCATCTCTCCTTCCCCTCCTAGGCCCACCCCAGATCTGTCCCAGGAGTCAGGAACCCAGGTTTACCATCAGGCAAGTCCCTTCTTCTCTCAGGGACCCAGTTTTTTCATATGTGAAAAAGCGGGAGCGGGTGACAGAACTGGAGAAGAGAAAAATAATAACAAAAATAACTTCCCAGTTAGAAAAGGTTTTCCCATGAGAGTTCTCATCAAATATATCGAAAGCCCCTTCTAGCTGGGACACTGCAAACTAAAATAAATATACCCTGGCCAACCCCCAGGCAGGTGCACACAGACTTACCCCATTACAACACCCCGCTGTGCCGAGGTCCCAGAGCTGCTCAGGTCCCAGTCAGCTCCCAGTGAGGGGCATGTCGTTGTTTGCAAGTTTCCACCAGAATGAACAGTGCTGCGAAGGACAATCTTGTATAAGCATTTATCTTTGTTCTGTGATTCTTTCTCATGATAGATTCCTAGCAGTGGAGTCACTGGCTTAGAGGATGCACACATTTTAAATTCTGATACTTACTAATGGAGAAACTTTACATGGTAATTCTCAAACTACTTGTATCTAGGCTTTACCTGGGAAATTTGTTGACAATGCACAATCCTGACACCACCAGTCTCCCTCGACCCCTCTCCCAACCCTCCTCCTCCTGCTTTGTTACCCAGCTCCCAGGTGGCTCTGCGGCAGGCTAAGGGGAAGAAGCAGCGGCTCCCTTTCATTTGCCCCAGTGCACCTCATCTAGCACAAGACTTGGGAAGCACTGGCCTTGGGGCTGCTGCTGGCTGAATCTGTGGGGAGGTCTCTGGGCTCCAGGCCACATCCCTAGTGGCTTCCCCAAAATGGGTAGAGTCTGGGGCCTGCCTGGTCGCGCAGCGGTTAAGTGCGCACGTTCCACTTTGGTGGCCTGGGGTTCACCGGTTCGGATCCCGGGTGTGGACACGGCACTGCTTGGGAAGCCATGCTATGGCAGGCGTCCCACATATAAAAAAAAATTAGAGGAAGATGGGCATGGATGTTAGCTCAGGGCCAGTCTTCCTCAGCAAAAAGAGGAGGATTGGCAGCAGATGTTAGCTCAGGGATAAGCTACCTCAAAAAAAAAAAAATGGGCAGAGTCTGGCTATCATGCACTTGAGCACAATGCCTGGTGCCTGGCACTGAGTGCTGGGGACAGTCACATCTCCAGGCTCACCTGGCTGCACCCATTTTCTCCTCCAGGCCCCCCTTTTGAAGGTGCCTGCCCCACACATGCTCTATGAGCCTAGTGGCCAGGGCCCAGTGGTTTTACCTTTCTTATCTAAGACTCCCAAGCCTCCCTTTTTCTCTCAGAAGGCTGTGGACAGAGCACCACTTCCCCAAGAAATTGTTTGGGGCCTCCACTCTGGACCTCGGTTTCCCTATCTGTGAAACGAGAGCGTTGGGCAAGTGGCACTGACACTTGGGGTGTTGCTGTGAGGAACGCAGTGAGGCCAACTAGGTTCTAAGCGCGTTTGCAGGGAAGCCTGGCTTCGATGGGTAGTCCAGCTGCCTCTTAACAGCCATTTAATCAGGATTCTGATTGGCTTAGAGCCTGTTGGGAAAAAATTCGATTTTTGTTAACCAGAGTTCTCTACTGCTAAAGTACAATTAAGACCAAAAGCCATTTTAAGGTCGCTGATTTCCAAGCTCAAGGGTCCTAGACATGTGGAACCAGATGGGAAACCAGAGGCCCAGAAAAGGCCTTGCCCAGTTTTAGTTGGGCTGCCTCTGTGCTGGGCTCCGAGGGGCACGAAGCCTCCCCGAAGGCCCTGCGGGGTCGGTCAGCAGGTACTTCACAGGATGTGGTAGAGAGCCAAGGGCAGGGAGGAGAGCGCCGGCAGGGTCGGGGAAGACCAAGGGACACGTCCTGGAGCGCAGCTGGGCGTGGTGGGCAGAGGAAAAGGAACCATCCAGGAGCGCCGGGGCCCGGCCGGGTGCTCTGCCTCCTTCAGGCACCTGTCTCAGTGGGCGCCAGTGGGCACCGTAAGGGCTCAGGCTCTCCTGTGGGACCCACCTGGCTGAAGGACGCTGGTCGTCCGTGTGACAAAAAGCAAGCGAAGAGCCTCTGCAGCTCACGGGTAACCAGGGACTGAGATACAACAGCACCACTCCACAACCTAAGGACGGGGCGGACGACACACAAGTGTGCTCAGCGCCCTCGTGTTAAAGACACTCCCGAACGCCGGCCGTTTGCACCTCTGGCCGCCACTCGTGTGCTAGACCCTGGAGCCTGGTGCTTCGGGGTTCTGTCCCAGGCAGCTCGCCACCGGACTCGAAAGGCCTGGAGGGCAGAACAGGAGTCCCCTTCAGAGCCCGGTCCCGACCAGCGGGGCGTGAACCCCGGGGCCTCAGTTTCCTCTCGGGGCAATGGGAACAATCACAGCGCGGGCGGGAGACCCGGCACAGGGAGGGGACTTACGGACGTCAGGATTTGCATTACTTCTCCTCAGGGTCACGGCCCCCACCCCCAGCGTGGAGCACACAGTAGGCGCTCCGGAAGCGCTCTCCGAAAGGACGCGCGGACCACTTCCTGCCCCCGAGCCGACTCTCCCGAGCCGTGGTCCCCACCGCTCCTCTCCGAGGCCATGTGGCATTCCTGAGGGTGGGGGTGGGCGCAGGAAGAAGGTGCCCTCCCGACCCCGCCCCCTCCGGGCGCGGTGGGCGGGGCGAAGCCCCTCGCCGCCGTCGGCCCGCCCCGCGGGGGGTGGGCGTAGCTCGTCGCGCTCCGCACAAAGTTTGTTTTCTCCCTCCGGGCGGGTGGGGGAGGGCGAGGAGCGCGGGGGGAGGAGAGGGGATCTGACGTCAGGCCGCGAGGTGCTTTCCAGCCGCGAGCTGTCAGGCCGAGTGTCAGGCCCGGCAGGTACGCGGCGCGCTCCCCCGGCGCCCCCCGCCCCCTGCCAGGACGCCCCGGACCGAGCCCGAGGCCGCGAGGACGGAAAAGTCGCTCGGAAAAGTCAGTGCGGGGCGCAGGCGGGGGACAGATGGGGGCGGGGGGCGCGCGGACAACTTGGAAAGTTTCTTTTTCTTGGCCGGGCGGGGGAGGGGGCGTCGTCCTGGCGCGTGCGATTGTGGGTGTAGTGAGCTCGATTGTGTTTGTGAGTCCCGACTCCCGTGTGCTGGGGAGCGGCTGAGGGGGCTGTCCCACCCCCCGAGAGGAAGCTCGCTCGGGGCCCTCTTGGGGGGCTCAGCTCTCCAGGATCCCACCCCGGGAGAGGGCCGCCCCTGCCCCCGGCTGGGTTGAGCGCGCGAGGGGTGGGTTTGTTTGGTTTCAAAAGTGCACGTTGCTAACCGCCGGCAGCCCCCCCGCCCCCGCCGCGGCCGAGCCGGGGAGGGGGACCGCTGAGAGTGACAGCTGCGGGTGGGGGCCGCGGGAAGAGCCCAGGGCTGGGGAGCCCGCGCGAGTTCCCCTTTCCTTTGGAACAAAGGAAAGTCTGTCTCTGAGGCATCTGTCACTCCCAGGCGGGCCAAGGAAGCGGGGCGCGTGGGGCCGGCGACCCGAAGAAAGTTTGTGCGCGCCGGGACCCTCGGGCGGGCCGAGCTGAGCCGGGCCTCCGGCGGAGGCAGCGCGCAGTCTCTGGGGCAGGGGGCGGCCAACATGGAGTCTGGGCGCTGGGCTGGGGGTGGGGGGGCGGTGCGGAGGTGGGAGCCCAGCCCCCTCCCCTCCCCCTCCGGGCCGAGTTCGGAGCACAAAGCCGAGCGCGCAGGCTCGGCCGGCCCCGCGCCCCGAAGAGTCAGCCAGCGCCGAGCGGCGGGGGAAGGGGGTGGGAACTAAACTTTTTCCTGCCCCGGGACAGACACGTGAGTCTTCTTTCTTCCAGAGCCCCCGCCTCCCCGGGATTGCGGGCCCGCGGGGGAGCTGGAGCGCCGAGTCTAACGTGGGGTGAGGGGCTGAGGGGTGCAGGCGCCCCGAGCGCAGGCCGACTCCCTGCCGCCCCGGGAGCCATGTGCTCCGACTCGGTCTGGGCCGCGGGGGAGGCTGCGCGCTTTGTGTGAACTGTTGGGAATGCAGCGCGAGTGCGCCGCCCGGGGGAGTGTCGGGCCGAGCTGGGGGAGTTGTCAGAAAGTTCGTGCTGGAGTGGCTGCAGGTCGGCGTCGTGGAGTGTGTAGGAGGGTACACCGGGTGTTGTGTCGAGAGGGTGCTGCCACAGGCCAGTTAGGGTGAGAACTCATCGCTGGGGTGATGACGTCTGGAGTTTTCCCAGTGTGAGAGGTCGCGGGTGGGCGGGTCGGTTGGAGTTCGTGGGTGGGCATATATCCAGGAATTGGGCCGGTTGCGTGGGTACCAGTTGTTGGTGCTAGACGTGGGCTTTGTAAACTGTGTGCGCTGTATCTGTCGGTGAAAATCTTGGGAGTTCCAAGGGCGGAGCGATGGGTTAGTACCAGTTATCTGAGTGCTGTTAGAAAGTTGCCAGGTGTGAGTGTGGGGTGTGTATGTGGGAAACCTCCGGGGTTTGTAGCGGACTGCGGTAGGACACCATGGTGGAGAGAGAAGCCTGTATAGACTGAGGAGTCATCTCCACGGGCCACCCCTGTAACTCTGCAGACTAGGCCTTGGCTGGTGGCCAGGGTGGAATTTGTACAGATAACCTTGAGTAAACTCACAGCCTGCCAGGGCTGCATCCCTGAGCCCAGCTCCCCACTGTCCCGGCCAGCGAAACCTCAGAAGCCTGACCTCAGAAAGCAGCTCTTGGTGCTGAGTGGCACCTCTAACCAATGCCTCTCTCACCTCCAGGTGGCCTGGCTGGGAGGGTAGACCCTTCCCTCGAAAGCCTGGCCTAGCCAGCCAGATATCTGGGCTCTGGCCCAAGTCGAGGAAACAAAACCTGGGAGATGCCAGAGTCTGTTGGCCCAGCCTGCTGGGGAGCTGTTAAAAGGCTGAGGAGGGAGGAGCCTTGAGATCCTGGCATCAGCTTGGCCTAGAACTTTTGGTTTTAAAATGTAAATCTCTTAGGCATGTGTGAACAAGAAGTTTGTCAGGGGGATGAGCAACTGAGTTGGGTTGTCTAGGGACAACCTTCCTTCATTTGACAGGTGAAGAGGGGGCTCAAATCCAGAGAGGGAAGGACACTTGTCCATGGTCACACAGCCAAATTGGAGGGCCCAGAGCCCAGGCTTGTTCACTTATCTGGGTTTTTGTTTTTGTTTTTAAACAAGGCTTTTCTGCCTTGCCATCAAATACAATCTTCTTCCACTTTCTTTCTTTTGTTTTTTTTTTAAAGATTTTATTTTTTCCTTTTTCTCCCCAAAGCCCCCCGGTACATAGTTGTATATTCTTCGTTGTGAGTCCTTCTAGTTGTGGCATGTGAGACGCTGCCTCAGCGTGGTTTAGATGAGCAGTGCCATGTCCGCGCCCAGGATTCGAACCAACGAAACACTGGGCCGCCTGCAGCAGAGCGCACAAACTTAACCACTCGGCCACGGGGCCAGCCCCGTTATCTGGGTTTTTGAGGAGTTGATTCTGGGACCAGGCCAGGGGCTAGATGACAAAGAAGAATGTCTGAGATACAACCAGTAGGGATGACTCAACACTCTCTCTGTAGGGCACACACTAGGTACACAGTAAATATTACGTGGATTACTGTAGGACCATGGTGATTGACAGATTTTCCAGACTTCTCACTGGGTCTTGGGAGACCTGGGAGAAAGATGGTATCAAATCGGGGGCAGGGGTTGGGAGGAGCACATTACCTTGGTCCAAAGGCTTCGTCTATACCATATCCCGGAGGTGAGGTTTTTTTTTTTTTCCATAACAGCTTTATTGAGATATAAATCACATACCATACATCTTACCCATTTAAAGCAAACAAATCAGTGGTTTTTAGTTTATTCACAGCTATGCTATTGACTATCACAATTGACTATCAGCACAGTCAATTATAGGACTTTTTTTTTTTTGCTAAAGAAGATTCACCCTGAGCCAACATCCACACTAATCTTACTCTATTTTTAGGATATGAGCCACCAGCACAGCATGGCCACTAATAGAGTGGTATAGGTCCACGCTGCGGAACTAAACCTGGGCCGCCAAAGCGGAGCATACAGAACTTAACCACTAGGCAATCGGGCCTGGCCCTACAGGACATTTTTATCACCTCAAAAAGAAACTCCATACCCTTTAGGTATCACCCTTCTATCCCCCTCTAGCCCATTCTGGACATTTCATAAAAAATGGAATCATATGTGATTTTTGTGACGTGCTTCTTTCACTTAGTGTAATATTTTCAAGGTTCATACACATTGTAGCATACAGGACTTCAGTCCTTTTTTTTTCTTTCTTTCTTTTGGTGAGGAAGATTGGCCCTGAGCTTACATCTGTGCCAACTTCCTCTATTTTGTATGTAGGATGCCGCCTGAGCATGGCTTGATGAGGTCCACGCCCGGGATCCAAACCCACAAATCCCGGGCCACTGAAGCGGAGTGTGTGAACTTAACCACTGTGCCACTGGGCCAGCCCAGGACTTCATTCCTTTTTGTGGCCAAATAATACTGCACATTTTGTTTATCCATACATCTGTTGATAGAGGCTTGGGTTATTTCCACCTTTTGGCTGCTATGAATGATGTTCCTATAAACATTTGTGTACAAGGTTTTGTGTGGACATAGGTTTTCATTTGTCTTGGGTAGATATACCTAGGAGTGAAATTACTGGGTCACATGGTAACTCTGTTTAACAGTCACAGTATCTTGGGCGGCTTTCCTGATCTCCCTGGGCCTTGGTTTTCTCATCTATAAAACGATGATAATAGTAGTGTCTCTCTTAAAGGGATTTGTGAGGATTGAATGAGATATTAAATGTAAAGTGCTCAATACAGAGCAGGGAAAAGAGACATCAGTGGTAGCTGTAATTATTTCTAGTCTGGTACAGCTTATTAATGAGCTGCCATTTCAGTAGTCATCTACCGGCCCCATGAAATGGAGGCATTTTGGACTCATCCCTTCTTGCTTGCTTAGGCTGTGTGGCCTGAGACTCTGAATTGCGATTCCCCCATTTCTGGCATCCCAGGCTCTAGTGATGGTGTGTTTGGAGACTAGGAAAAGGGTGAGAGGCAGTGCATGGTAATAATGTCCCCATCCCCTCTGCCACTTGTTCCAGGCTTGCCAAGATCCAGCCTAGCCCCTAGACACCATGTCAGACAGCGATCTGGGCGAGGATGAAGGCCTCCTCTCTCTGGCAGGCAAGAGGAAGCGAAGAGGGAACCTGCCCAAGGAGTCAGTGAAGATCCTCCGGGACTGGCTCTACTTGCACCGCTACAACGCCTACCCCTCAGAGCAGGAGAAGCTGAGCCTTTCTGGACAGACCAACCTGTCAGTGCTGCAGGTAAGGAGCGGGTAGCAGGAGGCCTGGGTTCCAGTCCTATCCCAGCCCTGGCACTGACTCACTGTGTGGCCTTGGGCAGTCACTTCTCCTCTCTGCGTCTCAGTTTCTTCTTGGGTCAGATGAGAACATCTACTCTCCCTGCCTCCAGGGAAGACAGTGGTGTGAAATCATTGCAGCTAGATTTCAGATTTTGGAGCATTCTGAAGAGGGAAAGAATTGTTAGTAATGTCCAGGTGCCATCATTAACATTGGAGGCAGTGGGAAGGTGAGAAGGCATTGGGTGTCTGGGAATTGGCCCCCAGACCCAGAGCAGTGCTTGGATAGTGACTTGGTTGCAGGGGGCAGCTGGTGATCTGCAGCATGGTTAAAAAATGAGTCAGAGTCACAGTCAAGCAAAAGGCAAAAGTCACAGTTCTGGGTTCAAAACCCAGTTCTGCCACATAGCAGCTGGGGACCACATCTTGATTTCCCCATCTGTAAAGTGGGGGTTAGAATCCCCCCTGTGTGACTGAACCGTTGTGAGGAACAGATTCAGAACTGGGTATGAAGGTGCTTTGTAAACCATGCACATGAGCACACTCAGAAGATCGTGTGAGCCACTTTGTGTCAGAGTGCAAGGTTATTATCTCCTCTGAATTGCCTGACTGCCCACCTGCGGCTGTTCTGGTTCTGCTTTCATGGTGCTGAGGCAGGACACCCTGGACTTCCACTGCCTTGCCTCCAGTTTGGCTGCACCTACCTGGGAGACACAGAGCAGGCCCTCAGCCTAGCAAAGACCCACCTCCCACCCCAATGGCCCCCACTGCTCCCTTTCCACCTCTGTAGTTTTCTAGCCCGTTACTTGAATCCGTGGTACTGTCCTTCCCTCCTTCCCTGACCTCACTTGGAGCCTCCCACATCTTCCCAGCTCTCGTCCCTCCTGTGAAGCCTCATGGTGAGTATTCAGCCCTCAGAACTCCTGTCACCTGACTTTATACTCACTGGGCAGTGGTTAATCGGAGTCTGTCTACGACAAAGGCTCTAGAGTTACAGACCCTGACTCAGATCCCATCTTCTCCACAAGAGGAAGCCTGGACCTTGGCCAGTCACTGCCTCCTCTCTGAGCCTCATGTGTCTTCATCTGGAAAACTGAGATGGTTGTACCACTTTCATAGCTTGTAAGGAGGAGGAACTGAGAAGAAGAATTCAAGGCTCACTGTGAGGTGTTTGGCACAGAGTTTGTGCTTCTCCTCTCCTTTTCACCCTCATGTCTTCTACATCATAGGTCTTGGACTGAGCCCAAGTGTCTAGCAGTGCCTGTCATCTCACAGTGTACTGCCAAATACCCAACTATGCCCAGCTCTATGCTGGACAGAGTTGGGATCTCAGAGAGGAACTAGACACATTCCTACCCTCAAGGAGTATATAGTCTGGGATGGGGAGCAAGGGAAGACCTGGCCACTGATGTTTGCAAAAAATGATCACAGCTGGGACAGAAGTCAGCAGAAAACCAGGGCAGGGCTTCTGAGCCAGCCTGGAGCCTCAAAAGGCCTCCCAGAAGAGGTGGACTTGAACTCACAGGATGTAGAACACAGGCCAGAGGCTGGAGCCTGAAAGTCAGGATTACTTAGCTGCTTTGCTGATCTTCCTGCCTCCAGCCTTGTTCCTTCAGTACATTCTCTTGGACACAAAAGTGCAAATCTGATTGTGTCACACACTCCACAGACCCCACTGTCCTCAGGATAGAGTCCACACTCTTAGGAGCTTACTCATCTCTCAGTTGTTCCTGTCCCTGGAGCCCTTGAACTCTTAGGCCTCTAGGCCTTCTCCTTTGGCTTATTCTGACCTTTCTGAACCTGGCTCAGTCTGTTTAAGCATTTTCTCATGAAAGCATTCTCTGGCTCTTCCCGCCTAGGTTTGAGGCCACTGCTATGTATTCCCAGTATGCCTCATACCTGTGCTCATACAAGTGTGTCAAATCACTTGTCACACTGTATTGAAATTGCTTTATTGTCAGGGACACAGTTTCTCAAATCTGAGTAATGTACCAACTCCTTTTAAAGAAAACATTTTTCATGGACCCCCCCCCAACATGTTGACTTGAGTCATTTTTATTATCACATCACTTAAGCACGTACAACCAGAAAACTGGGTTTAAAACTTCTTGCTTTTGCTCTTATACACAACTATAAAATAACCAAGCAGCTTTCCAAAGTTAAATAAATGTAAAACCAATGAGATTCCATATAACCACATTAATATAAAGTGGTGGATGGTGTCTGCTGACAGAGCTGTGGCAAGTAAGCTGACAGAGGCACTGACTCCAGAGTTGAGCAGGTCTGGGTTTCCAAAGGCCACGGTACTCCTACTCCCCATCAAAATAGAAACACAAAGCCAAAACATTCTTGTGGAGAACTAATGGACCCCTAGGACGACATATCCCCAGCTCCCACTTAGAGAAATATAGGTCTGGGGTGAGGATTAGCTGCTGGATCCCAGCATCTCCTGGTGAGTGGGATTCCAGCGGTGGCTACCCTGCTCTAGAGTCATGCTGAGAGTTAAGGAGCAGTGGGGACCATCTGGCACTCCTTGATGGAAACTGTACCACGAACCTCAAACGGTCCCAGCCATACACCTCTGTTTGGAGGTCTCACAGGCACCTCAGATTTCCTTATTGATAAGTGATAACTTTGCCAAGCTGGCTCCTTCCCTTTCTGGGAGTTTCCCCTAGATAAGCCCTTCTCAGCTCGTTTGGTCAGTCAGCAATTCCTATACATTTACTCCTTAAGTATTTCTGGAATATGGCTTCTTTCCTACCACAGTCCAACCTATCATTGATCACTTGTCACTGCCCTACTGAAAACCCTTTGATGGCTCCTGCCAACCCAACAACATCACCTGTCCCTATCTGCATAGTGGGCCTCATCCCTGGCCCCCCCATTGCTGCCACACTGATGTTTACCCCAGACTACTTTGCCCCCACCCCTGACCAGGGAGACTCCCAACCCTTAGAGGAGCTGTGTGCTCCACAGCACCTGGACTGGGCCAGCCTTTGGACACTTGCCTAGAATTGCTTTTTAGGACACACTAAGCTCCAGAGGCCTGGTCTTATTTATCACTATATCCTACATGTTTAGCTCAGTGCCTTGTATCTGGTAGGTGCTCAGAAAATAATTGTCGTCAAAGTGACAGGATATGAAGATAAACTTGGAAATGTCAACAGTCAGGAATTCAGAAGTAAGGAAATGTAGTGGCTCCTCAATCTGGAAAAGTTGGCTTAAGTCCCTTGAGGCACTTCTTTTTCCCATATCTAATTTTTAAAATTTCACTGTTTATTAAGAAATTTGCAAATATCCACAAAAGAGCATATTATAATGCACCCCTGTACCAATCACCTGGCTTGACAAGCATCAACTTTTGCCAAGCTTGTTTTTTCTCTCCTTGGAGACATCTCTCTTTTTGTCTCCTTTAACCCACCCCGGAGCGATCTCATTAGCAAGTCAATGAGTCATTTAACTAACTGGTTTGCTGGTACTTGCCCGGGGCTAGGCAGTTGGGAGGGTCAGACCAAAAAAAAAAGTCCTTTGTGAAGGATTTTCACAGGTTCCTGTGACACCCTTTAAGCCCAGTTATTGCTGTGGTTTCTGACTGTCCTAAGGGGCTGCCTCTTGGGGAGGGAAGGTGAGCGTGGCAGGGAGGTTCAGGCCTCATTCCTGACTCTGTATTAGTGATTGGGGGTACACTTATGCCAGGCCCACTGCTGTGTGCTGGAAACACAGCTGTCAAACAGGCACTGTCCCTGCTTTCGGGTAGCCCCCAGGGGGAGGGGAGACATTATTTAAAAGTCTAAGAATTCAACGTAATTCATTACCAGTGTGGTGTCAGCTGAGCTGCCCTGGTGGTTAGGAAAGGCTTCTCTGGGGAAGCTGTATTTGAATGGAGTCCTGACGGACTCGAAGGAGTGTGGAGGTGAGGGGCAGCAGTCCCTCTGGTGTGGAGCATAAGGCAGGAAAGGAGCCTGGTGCAGAAGTTGTGGCCTGCTGTGTGGCGTGGGCTGGCCTAGTCCTCAGTGACGCTTTATCGATGGAAGCTGCTCTCCTTACTCTGGCTTCAAAGCTAGCTGCCTCCCACTTCTTCGCACTGGCATCCTCTGTCTCCCCACCTTCATCTGTGTGTATATATTTTTTGAGCTTCTGTGTAAGTTTTTTTGCTTAAATAAAGGTTCGACCTACCAGGACAAGTCAAACCAGCAGGTTAAAACATTGGTTCCTAAGCCTGGGCAGCAGAACTCTGGGGAGCTTGTTCAAAAACACATTCCTGACTCTGTCCCCCGTCCTCATCGGATCTAGAAAAGCTGAAGAAAAAGATATGTTTTAAAATTACCCTCAAGGTGATTCTAATACAGCCAGCTGCCTTTAAGAGCACCTGGATATGGGTGGTCACAACACAAATGGAGGTACCATGATGTTTGGGAAAGGTCTCTCCACATCTTCACTTCTCTCCCCTCTTTTGCTTCTGTCTCTCACAGCTGAAAAGACATGAAAATTAAAGCACTTGTCGCCTTCTTCAGATGCTCCATCCTCGTGGCCTTCCTCAGCTTCCTGGTGCCCCTCCCACTCATATTTGATTCCTCCCTTGTCCTTCATCTCAGCTACTGATAAAAAAATACTGGCAGGACAGCAGCCTTTCAGATAGGGCCCAGTTTTATAGTAGAGACAGGCTTTCAGGCATCCAGCCTGTGTTTTGCCATATCAATCACAGAATTCACCTTGGCATTTTCCCTACCACCTCCCCAAGGACCTTCAGTGGGGGCACGTCACGTGCTCTTTTTCTGACTTAGGCATGGGTCGGACAGCTGGAAGGAGCTACAGAAAATCCCGATAGCCCGTTGTCACAGCTGGCACTGGCGGTGCATTCAGGCCTCCTGCCTTTGCCTGACCCCCCTCAGCTGTGCATTTCTATCGGATGAGAAGACAAAATAGACAGGCTGCCAAGTTTTCTGTGGACCAGGGTGAGCATGTGGGGGAGTATGCTTGTGTGTGGGGGGTGTTTTTCTCCTGTTCTCTTCTCTGAATTATAAGCCAAAATGGGAGGTGCAGTGAGGGGCTGAATGCCCACACAGCTGCTAGAAAATGCCCAGGCTCAGTCCCAGAGACTGCTTTCTCAACAAAAACACTTGTCCCTACTTCGCTTGCCCCAGGTTACTGTGACCCGACCATTTCCTCTGCATGCAGGGGTGAGGTAGAGAGGTGCAGTGCTCTCCTGCAGCACAGGTGGCTGAGGAGGCAACTGTGGAGATGGAAGCATCTGACCAAGGAGAAAAGGCCTCAGGCTGACTCTTCAGTCTTTTCACCTGGCAGTGGTGGTTGCCTAGAACCAGGCTATCTGGATCAGAGCCCAGCCTTTGCACTTGTGACCTTGAGCAAGCTACTGAACCCCTCTGATCAGGGCCTCTGTTTCTTCAGCAGTTCAACGGATAAAATGGAGATCATCACAGAACCCGTCTGATAGGCTGTTGAAGACTAAATGAGTAATTAGATGGGAAATGTTTAGAACAGCACCTGCTATGTTTTGTGTTTAACAAGTGTTTGCTTTTAGGATTATGATGATGATGATTCAGCTCCCCGTTCTGTTCCTCTGTTTGGTAAGACAGAGCAAAGCACAGTAAGAACAGCAGTAGGGGCCCTGGAGCCAGGAGACATGGGTTTGAGTCCCAGCTCTGCACTTGGTAGCTGTGTTACTCTGGGGAGGTTCTTTTATCTCTTCGAGTTCCTGTCCCCTCTTTAGTACTTTGGGGACACTGCTCACTACCTTCTAGGCTTGTATGCAGATTAAACATAATGCAGGTGAGATAGCCGACATGATACCTGGTATCAGAGATGCTAAATTAGCTCCCTTCATTCGTTTCACCCAAGCTGTTCAGCCTTACCTCTCCTTGGGGCCTCCCTGCAGCTCTAGCCAGGGTTCAGCTCAGCCAGTGTCTGTTGATGCGGGCTTTTGTGTGTGCGCTCAGTTGCACTAGGAGGACCATATAGGTAAAGAGGGGCAAATGAGAACCCAGGGGCAGGGTCCTTTCAGGCTGGAATAGAGAGGGAGAGGATCACAAAAAAGCTGTGGCTCTGCCCTGCCCAGGAGTTTTCCCAGCCTGACAGGGCCAAGGGTCTAGTGTTGTCCTCAGGTCACCTATGGAGTGAGTACATTTGCAGCCTGCTGGGTCAGGAGCCAGGCCAGCTCCTGTCATAGGTGGCTATCCCTTTGGCTGGGTAGAGGCAGACAGACAAAGTCCACGGGAAGATGGTACCCAAGGGCTTGCCTGCATATGAGTCAAGAAAGATAATGGGTAGGGGAAGAAACTGGTACGGGGAGCCCTAAGGAGAGCCAGGCCTTTGATCCATCCAGCAAACATTAGAGGAATGTTAGGCATTGCTGCAGCCCACTCAGTTCCTAACATCCCAGCACACGAGAGGGGATAGGGAGGGAGTTCCTGTTTTTTCTTCCAGCTACAGCAGCTGACACATGCTCCGTAAGTACCTGTTGATAAACTAAGGAGAGAAGAGATAGGACTAGCAGGACCTAGAGTGTGAAATTTAGGTCAAAGGGCCTATTTAGGCCCTTTAGTGGTTTACCCTGGTGTTCTAGCCTAGTGGGATCAGTCCTGCCTGCTTCTGTCACTTCCTTAAACCAAACCCTGTCCTGCCTCAGGACCTTGGTATTCACTGTTGCCTCTGTCTAGAACATTCTTCCCTCAGCTTTCTGTATCACTGGCTCTTTCTTATCCTTTAGGTTTCACCCTTCCCAGACCCCTTATCTACGGAAGACTATCTTACCTTTATTTGCTACCCTTTTATTCCTGTCTGTTTCCTTCCTGGCATGTACTGGTGGCTAGGCACCGTATTTCTTCATTGCCAGTCTCCACAACTAGATGGACTGTAAGCTCCACAGGGCAGAGTGTATGTCTGTTTACTTCACAGAGGCATCCCCAACACCAAGAACTGGGCCTGGCACATAGTAAGCGCTCAATAAATATTATTTGAGTGAGCTCCTGAATCTTTGAAAGGGAGATCAACAGGAAAGTGAGAAGTTCTAACTTGACTGTTCTAGTGAATAAAATAAGCTGGGCTCTGGGGCCCTGTGACAGCCTGAGAGAAAGATTCAGAGAGAAGGGACTCTCCTCCAGATCCAAAGGCCCAGGCTTGGGCATCCCTGGCTGGAGGTGGAATCCTGCCTGACTTCTCCAGACTGAGCTTTAAGTACGTTCTTTAGTAAAATGGGAATTGATCAAACTCTTAAGGCTGAGGTAACTATTAGAAGAAAATTGTGTAGATGTACGTTGCTCAGTAAATAGCAGCTATTGGTAAGCTCTTCTCAGTGAAAGCTCCCAAAAAGATGCCTAGATGTGTGGCTATCTACTAGGCCACACCCCCCACACACCCACAGTTTCTAATGTATCTTTTCTGCTTCTTCTGAGTTGGCAAGAAAGTGATTAGGCAGCTTTTCCCTTATGGTGGCCCCTCCAGTGGAGGGCAAGAGGGAGAAGGACTTGGAAAAAATGCTAGGGGGTTATATTTGCCTGTTTAAGACAATTTTTAAAACACGTTTTGTATTTATGAGTTTACACCAGCCATGCAGCTAACAAACTGTTTTCTAGTCTAATCCATAACTATATTTAAGTAATGCCCAGGTGAGCTACTATAGGCTCCATCTTGCCACATCTCCTGGTCTACTCCACATCTTAGGAGTAAATGAGAGGAAAGAGGGTATAACTGGTTGATCTTTTAGATAGTCAAGAATGATGCCACGATTAGGTGCCTGCTGCTCTCAGGTGTGCAGAAACTATTCACACTCTTCCTGAACAGTTATCGACCCTGATGGTGTCATTCATGCACGTATGAAAAGAAACTGCTAGGCCCTACGCCAGCCGTAGTTGAATAGAGATACGTTTTGAATCCATTCCTCTGCTCTGGCCCTCTCTCTAATATCTTTGGTCAGCCAAGACTTAGAGGAGTAGGCATTCTCCAGATGGAGAAGAGAGCATTCCAGAAAGAAGGAATGTGATGTATAAAAGGCATGGAGCTATTGGGGGGGAAAAAAAGAATAGGGCCTGAATGAGGGCTACTGAGCAATTTCACATGCTGAAGAATAAAAGGGCTGGAAAGATACGCGAGGGTTTTAGCACCCAGGCTCAGGAATCTGGACTGGATCCTGAAGGCAGTAGGAGTCAAATGGCAGGTTCCTAGAACAGGAGTAACAGTCACTGCATTTTAGAAAGAGAAGTGACAACCAGTGAAGAGGCTGGATTGGAGGGCCATGAAACTGGAGACTGTTAAAGAGAGTCCAGACAGATACGGGACAGGGTGCTAGATATGTCTTGGCTTTGCAGCATACCACTTAACAGTGAGAAATTTTGTGCCTCACGCATAGGTCTAAAAAAATTGATTTAAACAATCAGCTAGACAAGAATGGGGTTAAGGTTAATGGTAGCTTTCTCAGCAGCATGTGGCGGGGGGGAGACTTAAGGATGTTGATTGAATGCACATTCAGCTGGAGCCACTGGTTGTGGTTTTGCTTGGAAAGAATTTTTTCTTCTGACAGTAACTTGGTGTCTTTGTGGCTCTTTCTCTGGTCCACAGCAAGACTCTGCTTTAGACACTTAGGAGTGAATCATCCTTGGCAGTATCCCCTCCTCTTTCATTCACCCATATCCAGTTGGACACCAGGTCCTGTCATTTCCAGTTTCCCAAACAGATCGAACATTCGTCATCATCTCATCACTTCCCTTAACGTAATTTGAACTACTAACCTTTCTCCCTGCTTCTACTCTGTTCTCCACATAGCAAGTCCCTCTTTTGCTTAAAACCCTCCTATGGCTCCCTGTTGCCCTTAGAATAAAGAACCAAATCCCCACCATAAGAGGTAACCTCTAGTTACCACTCTGAGCACCAGCCATACAGGCCTGTCTTCTCTGAGTTCCTCATAGGCACTCTGCTGCCACCCGACACAGGGTCTTTTCAGAAGTTGATCCCTCTAAATCCAGTTCTCCCTTCCCGCCTCCCACCTGTACTACCGCTTATCCTTCAGATCACAACTTACCAGCCATTTCCTCAGAGACTACTACTCTCAGTCCACAGAGGCTAGATTAGCTCTTCCCATTATGGTCTCCAACAGCACCACCGTACCTTCCCTTCACTGGCTGAATCACAGTTGCAATTTTATATTCATTTGTATGATTTCTTCTTTAACCCTCTCTTCCCAACATGAACCTGAGGGCGGGGATTGTCTGTGGCATTTGCTGCTGTGTTCCTGGAGCCTGAAACATAGGCACTTCATAGCTGGTTTTGATTGCGTGAACTGACCAGTCTCTCATATTCATTCCAGATATGTAACTGGTTCATCAACGCCCGGCGGCGGCTTCTCCCAGACATGCTTCGGAAGGATGGCAAAGACCCCAACCAATTCACCATTTCCCGCCGCGGGGGTAAGGCCTCAGATGTGGCCCTCCCCCGTGGCAGCAGCCCCTCGGTGCTGGCTGTGTCTGTACCAGCCCCCACCAATGTGCTCTCCTTGTCTGTGTGCTCCGTGCCACTCCACTCAGGCCAAGGGGAAAAGCCAGCAGCCCCCTTCCCACAAGGGGAGCTGGAGCCCTCCAAGCCCCTGGTTACCCCTGGCAGCACACTCACCCTGCTGACCAGGGCTGAAGCTGGAAGCCCCACAGGTGGACTCTTCAACACGCCACCGCCCACACCCCCAGAGCAGGACAAGGAGGACTTCAGCAGCTTCCAGCTGCTGGTGGAGGTGGCGCTACAAAGGGCTGCTGAGATGGAGCTTCAGAAGCAGCAGGACCCGTCGCCCCCGTTACTGCACACTCCCATCCCCTTAGTCTCTGAAAACCCCAAGTAGGCATCTGCCAACAGGGGTGCTCGAGGCTCGAGCCAGCTGTCCTGGGTTTCCGTTTTGGTTCCCCTTCATACAGAGGGTTTTCTTTGGATCACTGCCAAACATCAGGATCATCTCCTCTGTTCAGAGGTCTTCAGCAGGAAGACGCCAGCTGGTGTCACTGCACTGTGATGGGGACCTCTCCTCTGCTGACTCTGCCGTTTCTCCAGGCGTCCTCAGTGATGAGACCAAGAGATTTCGGAGACAGGCATGGTGCTGCTGCTGCTGCTTCTCCAGAGAATCCCCAGGACCCCTTCGTTCCAGCCCGTTTTCCTGGGCTGGGCACAGGAAACCTGCCAAGTTCAGACCTATGCTGGGTCCAAGTTGCCCCTGAGCTGGGCCTCTTTTTGTTAAGCCAGGTGTGGACATTCCAAGTTCATAAGTGTGAACAAAAGAAAAGAATCCAGCAGATGTAACAGAACCGACTCCAGTTGAATGTTTAGGTTTTCACTAAACTTTGTGTTTATTTTTCCCTTTTTGCTGTGGTCTACATTAATGGGAGTAGTTAGCCGAGGTGTGGGGAATCAGAGTGTGCTGCGTGCTGGAGTATCATGAACTGGGAATGATCCGCCACTGCAGTTGGTGACTGTTTGACAAGGAAGGAATATTTTTATTTTGGGGACCAGCAAAATCTGCAAAATTCCAAATGGTTGTTTTATTCTTGGTTTGGTTTACAAAAAAAAAGCAGAAAAAAACTTTTATGGGCTTTGACTTTTCTGCATCAGGCACAGAAGGGGATAAAGCCACAACCAGAGTGAGGGTCCAACAGAGAATCTGACCAAACCTTCTAGGCGCAGAGCAGAGAAGGATGATAAAACCAGAGAGGTGTTTGTTTTTATTTTTGTTTTTACTGTATTTTGGGGGGGTGGGGGAAGTAAGCTAGACTGAGGCAGTGGGGTTTTTTATTTCTCTTTAATATTTCCCCCCTCTTTATCCTTGAAAGATTTGCCCTGCAGCCTGAGTTTTGAATTCCTTTAGGAACTTGGATCAGTGGGGCCAGAATGTCAGAAGCTCCCAGAAACTCCTACTTGGAGAGAAGTGAGCCATCTACTGGTCAGGAAGCCCTTTTAGCTGACTCAGACAGGCAGCTTTTCCCACGATGGTGGCAGGAAACTATTCCTGGAGGAAGCAGGGAATAGAAGCCCCAGCTGCCTGAGGAACTGCCTTCAGAGGAGGCTGGGGTCGCAGTGAGCGCCTTTGTGTTGCACCTTTCTTTAAATGAGTTGCAAAGGCTCCTGCCCTGAACTTCACAGTGAAAAGATCACAGTTGATCTTATTCTCCTCCCTCCTCCCCATTTTTTATTTTGCTGTTTCATTGCTGACAGCATTCAACAGCAATATACCCCATCTTTATATATCCTAAGAAACACTAATCCTAGGTTATTATTAGCTGAAATATTTTTGTTCTGAATAAGATTGTTACTGGGCCAAAAGACAGGTCAGGAGCCCCAGCCTGTAGTTTCCTGAAGTTGCCAAGTCAGGCACATGGGGGAGAGTTCCTGGGTGTTGGCTGACTTGGGTGGGCCTGGCCAGGAGAAAGGCAGCAACATATGCTCTGTCCTTTCTGGAATGATCCCTGCAGCCTTCAGGGAGGCTCCCCCACTTCTGAGTGGCTTGGCCCATCCATTGCTGTGGGAGCAGGGATTGGTTATTTAAGGAGAGGGAGCTTTGTTTTCTGTGAGTAAGCAAGTTTCCTAGGCTCCCTCTTCTGCCTCCCCTGCCTGCTCCTTGCATGCCCCAGGGGGATCAGGGATCCTCACCCTCCTGAGGCCCAGCTGGGGAAGAATAAACATGGCAGCTTCAAGGTTAGTTGAAGCTGCTATTTGCCCAGCTTCTTCCACCCAACCCATGTCTGAGCCCAGGTCTGGTGTGACTGTTGCAAGATGCTTGTAGCAGGGGATTCTGGAAGTGTATTGGGCTGGGGTGGGACTTTTCCTTCCCACAGTGCACTAAGCAGTGGAGGTGGTGAGGGGTGAGAGAGCCATGCTGCTGAATTCTGGTTGGCATTCCCCCCTTGTGCAAGATGGGGAGGCTGGGGGTGGGGCAGCCTCTACTTGGTTTAGTTGTGAGGCGAACCTGGAGGAGAAGCACAGTTACCCCGTTGAATTCTTTGAGCAAAAAACTACTGTAAATAACTTGTTTTTGTCTTTTGTCAAATAAAGTTGTTTTTGGTTTTTGTTTTGTTTTGTTTTAAAGCAGAACCAGACTGATCCACTGTGACCCTGGGCCCAATCTGGAGACAGGGCAATTGCTGAGTTCTTACTCTGCCTTACCTTTTTCACTTTCCCTCTAGTAGCCACCTGTAAGAGCTGTGTACCCTGCATCCTTATTTCCTTGGCCTCAACCCGGTTCCATAACCCATTCATCACTGTGCAGGGGACATATGCATCCCAAGCTGGACCAATCTCCCCTGGGAGCAACAGTCAAGTTTTGGGGTTGCTAAGTGGTGAGGGAACTTAAGGGAGCTGGCCACTTTGTCCTCCCCATCTCCTAATGAAGAAAGAACATGACTGCAATATGAAGCCAGCACAGAAAGAAGCAGAGATGAGATGGATGCTCTAGTCATGTGTGAAACCAGTATCACTTCTGGACTTCCTATTATGTAAGCTAGTAAATTCCCCTTTTTGCTAGCTGTGGGTTGCATTTCTGTCATAATGAAATGAGTATACCTTGTAATTGCAGGCCAAACAGTGCAAAATCAAGGTCTGCAACAGTAAACAGGGAGTCTTGCTATGTGCCTGGGCCGACGCAATGTTCATTATCCTTTAATTTTCGTACATACACACGCACACGCTCACGCTCATAAAACAAGTGAGATGCCCTTCTCATAGGTAAAGAAGCTGGAGATTTAAGTTACTTGCCTGAACTTACACAGCCACTGGAGCTAGGAAATGAATTCAAGTCCGTCTTGCTTGAAGGTCACCCTGAGGTCTACCCAGCCCTTATTCGAACTAGTGATGGGCAGTTCACCACCTATTGGCATCCAGCTGTCTCACATGGCTTAGGCTAAGCATGAGAAGTTTCGTCTACTAAACCAAACTGGCTTCCTCCTGATTTCTCCCCAATATACCTGGATGGCGGATACAGAATCTCTCCCACGGGACACCCTCCTTTAGGAATTGGAGACGGAGTCTCCCCAATCGAGCTATCCAGATTAAAGAGCCCCAAATCCAAGCTCCTGGTTTCCCCACTTCCCTCTGTCAGTATCCCTCAAACTGGACACTTGGTCCTGGGACTTGACAGAACAAGAACATGCTGGAAGGGCTCTTCAAAATAATACTTTACATCGGGAAAATGAATATGAATATTCCCCTAAAAGGGGAAGTGATTTGGATGGTTTGACTGCCTCAGGAGAGATGGCTTCTTACAAATACTTTTCAAAGAACTGAAACTAAAAGTGTCTTCATCAAGCTTCAAACTAATGATCCCTGGAGTGAGCAAGCACTCTAACTAATAAAAGCTGACAGGGATAGTGTGGCTAGGGCCCTTCTCTAAGCTAGGAATGTTATCTAAGGACATCTACCTTTCCTGGAAGGGTCTCATTTAGGAAATAGCTTTTAACTGCATTTCTGCTCCCTGGTCTTGAGTACCTGCTGTTGGGTTGGCTACGTATTACCTGACCCCCTCTTTACACCTCTATTCTTAACAAGGGGATCATGATGATGCTTCAAGTCCTTGGGATCGATGTAAACTTAGACCCTGTATCAAGTAGTAAAAAAGGAAAAAAAAAAAGTTCTGATGGGGGTGGGTATGCCTTTAGACTGGTGATCAAAGGATCCTTTCTACTGTGTTTCAAAGTGTGGTAATTTCTCCATGGACCCCAAGCCTCACAGACCCCACTGGGAAACTTTTCCCCAACTTGACCCCATTAATAAAAATCTCTAGGGGGGTTACTCAGAACTCTGGATTTAAAAAGTACACTCTAGATTGGAAGCTGCTCATGTGAAAGCTCCCAGAGGGCAGGAGCCAAGTCTGCCTCAGTGTGGCTATGACCTCACTATGGCTGTGACCTTGCTATATTAGCCACTAGAGCTGTAGTGATTAAGTTCTAGAACTCAGGGGGTGTGGAAATAATCATCATCACTGCTCCCAATGTCACTAGTTTCCAAAGCACTTCTCTAGGAGCTAAGCCTGGGTTCATATTCTGGCTGTCACTTAATTAGCTGTCAATTACCATTGACAAGTCAATTCACCACTCAGTTTCCTCATCAGTAAAATGGGAATAGTAATATTCACCTTTTTTTTAGAATGTTTTCATTTATTTTATTTTATTTTTGTTGTTGTTGAGGAAGATTCGCCCTGAGCTAACATCTGTGCCAATCTTCCTCTGTTTTGTATGTGGGATGCTGCCACAGCATGGCTGATGAGTGGTGTAGGTCCATGCCAGGGATCCAAACCTGTGAACCTAGGCCACCAAAACAGAGCATGTGGAACTTAACCACTACGCCATGGGGCCAGCCCCAATATTCACCTCTTACAAGAATGAAAAAGGATAATCCATGGGGTTAGCCCTGTGGCCTAGTGGTTAAGTTTGGTGCACTTCACTTCAGCTGCCCGGGGTTCATGGCGGTGGCCATGCTGTGGCAACAACCCATAAACAAAACAGGAAGACTGGCATAGATGTTAGGGTGAATCTTCCTCAGCAAAAATAAATAAATAAGGGATAATCCATATGTTACTGTTATTATCTATTGTTGTTATCTGGCCTCTCACCCAGGGCTGAGATTAAAACAGAACTGTTGAAATAACTTGCCCCATACCACACAGCTTTTAAGTGGCAGAACTGGGACTAACTACCCAGAGAAATAGTTCTCAAGACTTAATATGCATCAAGATCATTATGAGAGCTTACAAATATGCAAATTCACAGACCTCACCTCAAGACAGTCCACAAATCTGCACTCTTTACTGTTGCCACAGGAGATTCTCATGCTATTGCTCCAGGGACCTGATCATTTATATTCAGGACACTGACTTATCTCCAGGAAACTGCTGAGTGGTGAAGACAGCACATCATCTTTCAAAGTTACAAGATGAGGGGCCAGCCCGGTTAACAGTGGTTAAGTTCGCACGTTCCACTTCTCAGCGGCCCGCGGTTCGCTGGTTTGGATCCCGGGTGCGGACGTGGCACTGCTTGGCACGCCACGCTGTGGCAGGTGTCCCACATATAAAGTAGAGGAAGATGGGCATGGATGTTAGCTCAGGGCCAGACTTCCTCAGCAAAAAGAGGAGGACTGGCAGTAGTTAGCTCAGGGCTAATCTTCCTCAAAAAAAAAAAAAAAAAGGTTACAAGATGAGAGGAAGAAGGGTACCACCAAGTAGTCTGCCCTGAACCATTTGACTTCCCACTGCCTCCCAGGAGTCTATGGTGGCCTGAAAGTCAAGTGTAGCCTTTCTGAGATTGTCATTTAAATACATAAGTAATCCACATTCACTGTAGAAAACTTTAAAATAAAGATAAAAAAAGAGGAGTTCCGTATAGTGGTTAAGAGCCCCGTCAGCTTTTGGAGGAAAACAAATGTGTGTAAAACAGTCAGCAAAGTTGGCAGCTAGTAAGGTCTCAATAAGTGCTAGTAAAACAGTTACTGTAGGCAAAAAGAAAAGACGACCTAGGAGACAAACCCAGACCTCCACTTCACAGCAGGTGCTCCTTCCACAGTTCACGGCTTTTCTCCCCAGGCCTCCTGATTTCTGTGAGTCCATCTATGTCTGGGGCCGCAATCTTACCCCTCAGTGCACACCTTCCTCTCCAAACCCTACTACAAGCAACCGGCAGTGGCAGACAGGACTCCGCTGGGAGGGCACACCCAGCCCCAAGGCTGAGATCATGTGTTTAACTGGTGCTAAAAAGCCCCAGCCTCACAAAGGCAAACTGTGTCCTACTTCCAAATCTGTTTCTCACTTCCAAATCTGACTCTTCATCAAGTTCTTTTCCATCTTAGACCACCCGGGATGTTTATTTTAACCAGATGGATGCACTGGGATTCAGCCAGATTCCCCACTTCCTAAGATAAGGAAAGCCTTGGGTGAAAGCAGAAAGGGAACCAGTCGCAGTCCCATAAATAGCTTCTAGGCAAAGGCTCTCCACCCTGGCTCCCAGCTTGGCTTTGTCTGCTCAAAGAAGCTAAGAGGAGGAACACAGATCAGGTTTCAAACGCCTATTGAACCTCTAACTTGCTGTGTGAGCTTGTGCCGGACTGCAGAATCTGAGGACCCTTCAATTATAACTTTCTGTGACACCCTCCTCTCCTCCCATGTAAACACAAACTTAATGAATCTCAGAGTTAAGATCAGAGCTTTACAATACAATATGACACAATATAGTACAAAAAAAGAATTAACCTTTTTTGGAAGAAATAAAGTTATCTCTGTTTGCGGATGATATGATTGTATATATAGAAAGCCCTAAAGATTCCACAAAAGAAATGCTGAACTAACAAAAGGATTCAGCAAAGTTTCAGGATACAAAATCAGTACATAAAAATCAGTTGTGTTTCTATGCACTAACAATGAACAATCCGAAAAGGAAATTGAGAAAACAATTCCATTTACAATAGCATCAAAAAGGATAAAATACTTACGAATTAACAACCAAGGAGGTGAAAGACTTATACATTGAAAACCACAAAATATCGCTGAATGAAATTAAAGATACAAATAAACCGAAAGACATCTCATGTTCAGGGCCTGGAAGACTTTATATTATTAAGATATCAGTACTACCGAAGCAATCTGCTCTATCAAAATCCCAATGACTTTTTTTTTCAGAATAGAAAAATTCCACCTAAAATTCTCATTGAGACAAGAACCAGCCTAACAAGACAGGGCCATCTACAAGGCCCCTGGCCTAACAAGGTAAGGCCCCTAACCAATCCGCAAGCTAGGAGAATCAGATAGAGACCACTAAGTTCCACATTCCACAGCCTCTGGACTCTCCTTGGCTTACACAGCCACCCTAGCACCCAGGAGTCCACTGAAGGTGACCCTAGCCCCACTACTGTACTAAAAATCACACCCAGGGGCCAGCCCGGTGGCGCGGCGATTAAGTTCGCACGTTCAACTTCTTGGCGGCCCAGGGTTCGCCGGTTCAGATCCCAGGTGTGGACATGGCACCGCTTGGCACGCCATGCTGTGGTAGGCGTCCCACATATAAAGTAGAGGAAGATGGGCACAATGTT